TCATAGTGCTTGTTATTCTCAATGTATTAATGAGAGTACAATGTCAAAAATGTTAACTTGTCGAAAGAATGAATGATGTTGAATATTAATTATATCCTTAGACTTTTTTCTCACATTATTATTAATTCAGATATGCGTCTTTTTCATCGCTACTGATAATCTAAAGTTGATTTATATTAATGAGAATATATGAGCTACGATATTCTGTAGTCATATGAAGTGGTAGAACAAAAAAAAATAAGGAATCAAATGACGTTTTATTAGAAAAGAAATGCACGCAAGATACATAATTATTTATCAGATAAAATAGATTCAAATATGTTTGTAGAGTATAAGTAGAACATCATCATTTATATGCCATTTTGTTTTAAGTCTAACTGTTTTTACAATCAACAGCAAGCCATTCTTTCGAGAAGTAACGAACATTATTTCTGCTGAAAGAACAAATAACAATATAATTTGCACCTTTGCACAGACAGACGTGGATGTGTGTGTTCTCTCCTTCCACATATATACACGCACACTCACACCCACATCCCAGCAATTCAATGAATGAATCGTTCGCTCCTCGAACATCAAAGAGAGAGAAACATATCTCATGCACACACCGACAAAACACAACATATGAAACTGAAAGACTGACACAACAATATATCACACAAAACATGGGCAATCGAAAGAGTATAACATGTTATAGAGAAGGAAAAAACTGTATATCCAAGTTCATGACTATTAAATCATAGTCTTAAGAAAAGTAACCGTGTAGTTTGAACAAGATCTAGCTAATTAGAGATATTAAAGAAATAGGAGATATCCAGCTAGAGGAGATCATCAAAAAAATGCGTTTGAATGCATTAAGATTCCGTTATAACACCTTGCCAACAGCAAGTTGATGTAAAAAAAAGCCGTTTTGTACGAATTTTTTAACATCTTTTATGATTTTTAACGCATCCAAAATACTAAGTATGTTTAGACACGAAAACTTAATTTGAAAAACGCACTTTTGTTTGTTTTGTGTAAGCTGGTTTTGCTGCATCAGGTAATAACTCTTTCATTTCATTTTTTTCAAAAAGAGAATGAATTCGTTTCAATTAATTGGCTTTCTTTGATACAATTAAACGTTCAATGTTTTTTAATTTGAAAAACGAATTTTTTATGATAACTATTATAAATAACAATTTAATTATATATTGGCATGAGTCATGTTAGAGATGAAAATTATTTTCGAACATAATAATACTATAATAGAGTAACATAATTTTGAGACATAAATATTGACATATTTCCTCTGAGTAGACACAAATAATTCATAATAAAATGGACGTTTATTTTGAAGACAGTGAAAGTACTTCACTTATTCTTTTAACTATGAAATGACTACCGTAATATACAAAATTGTTTTGTGTGATTGATCGAAAAAGTCAAAGCTAATCACATGTATATTAAATATCAATTTATTCAGAGAACTCTTTATCTTTTCTCAGAAAAAATTAATTACTAAGCTTTTCGTATTCTTCCATTTAGCATAGAACTTAAATAATAAACAAACTATGTAGCAAAGTTAGGAACAGTTTCTCTCATTATTGTTATTTCCTTTTGTACTGGATAATAATGATAAACTACCACTTATTGCTTGTGATCATCTTGACACATTTGGTTGAAAAATTTTCCAAAACTATCGGAAATAATGGTCGTATAATATAGAAATACAGAGAATTGTACATGTCATGTATGAATATTGAATGGGAAAAAAAAGCTGTTTAGGAGTTTTATATTAATTCAATCTCTGTTAACGATGTTCTTTAAATCTTCATCAGATAGAACCTTTCTAGAATTATTTAGCATAACGAATAGTCTACTTCTAAACACTTTTGAACTCCCTTGTACATCGTCATCACGATGAGATAGTTTAGAGTCAAATGTATTTCAATGAGTCGATAAACTTCAACCATGTTAAAACCTCTTTTTTTTGGCATTTTTTTCTCGAATTTTTAACAATTGATTCTTTTCATTTTTTTGAATCGACTAACCATTCTTTTCACAATCTTGTACTTTTTTTATTCTCCTACGTCGTTCCATATTATTTTATCTGTACTTTAATTTCTCTGTATTTCCTATATCCGTATTTTCTTCTCTTTCTTCATGCTTTGTTGTTCCATTTCAATCACAAATTGCTGCTTTGAGATGTTGCTTATGCCACTTAGTGAATTGTTTCGATTATCTTATTGGTGAAGATTCAGACTGATAAGTACATCGAAATTATGTGCTCTGAAAGCATAGAAATTCTTTATCTCAAATTATTAGTTAGTCATTCTTTATTTATACTATCAAAAAAAGAAAATAAATGTTATTCGTTGATGAATTTTGTCCGCCTATGCTATGGAAGTGAATAAAAAATAAATAATAATAGAGGATAATTATTAATCAGTTTTATGCATATATATACACGGTTGATGATGGAATTGGTGAAAAATTTGGTTCATGTTTACAATATTTATCAAGTTTTATAACAGGATTGATTATTGGTTTTGTTAACGGATGGAAATTAACATTAGTTATTATATCTATGTCACCTTTACTTGCTATTTCTGGTATTCTCTATTCAAAAGTATTATTAATTGAATTAAATTCTCTAATTTCATCGCTTTTTTTTGTTTCTCTTCTTAAAATAGATCAGTGCTCGAATGGCATCAAAAGAACAACAAATTTATGCACAAGCTGGTCAATTAGCTGAACAAGTACTTGCTGCAATAAAAACAGTTTTTGCTTTTAATGGATCTGATTTTGAATTAAAACGGTAAACAATTTTCTTTTTTTTTTGTTAGAAAGAAAAAACATGTTAAAAAATTTCTGTTGAATAGATATGAACAACAATTAAAACTAACACAAAAAAATGGAATAAAAATGGGTGCAATTTTTGGTTTAGTTACTGGTTTTGATTATTTTGTTGTATTTTGTGCTGATGCATTAGGATTTTGGTTTGGAGCAAAATTAATTCGTACAGAAAATTATACTATTGGTCAAACACTCATGGTAAATAATGAGGATCCATCAAAAGATCACCGAAACTAACATAGGATTGACCGCTGCTAAATTTCTTTTTGAATTCTTCTTTACCTCAACTAAGAGATCATATAAATAGCTTTGTAAAGTTTTGCAACTTAGCATCACAATTATGATTTCTATTAAAAAGTTGTTAGCACAATTTCTGCAGAATTAAAATATGAAATACGATCTAGATATTGCTTCTAATCCGCTGAAAACTGGTATTTTTTTTTCTATATTGGAACATATTTCTCCATCATTGCTTACTTTAGAGTATAAAACTTTAACAAGCAAATACCCCATATATATTCCAATTAGATGTCAATGATACATGATCTCCAATAGTTTCTTAAAGCTGTCTGCCACGATCTGTGATGGTCAATTAATTGATTATGTAGTAATTAGTTAGCGGTTGGTTAGTTAATTAATTAGTCAAATAATTAGTTAATTGACTAATTAATTAGGCAGTAATTGGTTAATTAATTAAAATATCTATCACAATCTGAGGGGAGTGGGTCCAAATGTCCACCTTATAAACTTTAACACTCATTTTAGATCGTGTTTCAAAAAACCCGTGCATATCTTTTTAAATTGTGAGTAATAACTCAAAAGATGCAAAATTTCATGTGCTTTCAGAATCTAAACTCATTTTTTCGAAACGTTAGGACTCAAAAAGGCAAATTACTGGTACGATAACATTCATAAACCATAGACTTCTTTCTTGTGGAAGTACACTTGATTACTAAAAATTATTGCAATGACTGCTGACGTAGTCTATTCTGTAGAGGATTCTTTTCTGCGTCTTTTGAGATCTTCTCTGATTCAAGATAATGGATAGAAGCACAGAAAATTTCAAATAAAGACCGACAACATGTAAAGAAGTTGGAGAATTGTGATCTTCGGTATTTTCAAAACTATGTCAGAAAGTCCTGATATTTTGAATTCATAAGTTTTTGTGGTTCGCGCTCTCATTTGAACTAATAAAAAATTCTATGACATCTGACGAACCTTCTCTTAATGTTGAGATAATTCAATAGATTTGAATATTTTAAGGTTTTTTTTACTGTAATTAACTCAATGTTTGCATTGGGAAGATCAGCACCATATTTTCAAGCGATTACATCAGCTAAAGGAAGTGCTTATTCAATTTGGAAAATAATCAAAACTGAAAAAGAATTTTATCGTGCAGAATCTTCTGAAGGACTTAAACCATCAAAGATTAAAGGAAATATAGCATTTCGAAATGTTTATTTTGCATATCCATCTCGACCTACTTTAACAGTTTTAAAAAATGTTTCATTTGATATATCTGCTGGTCAAACAGTTGCTATTGTTGGTTCAACTGGATCAGGAAAGGTATTGATATTTTATATTAATTGTTTTTTTTTTGGATTTTTAATAAATCTTTCAATGATTAGAGTACATGTATTGAATTACTTGAAAA